ATGGGCGTGCGGGGTTTGAGAGGGAGAAGAGAAGGTGAGAGGAGAAGCAGAAACATCGGCGTCATCTTCAACAACATCTTCCAGCTCATGGGGCTCATTGCGGGCGACCAGTACGTGTCTGTTGACCTCCTGTCTGACTCCGAAAAGGTGCGGTCAGTGTTCAGGGCGAGGGGGAGGGTATGGGGAGGGACAGGGAGGGGAAGGGGAAGGGGGTGGGGAAGAGAGGGGGATGTGGGCGGGGATGGGGACGGGAGAGGGTAAAGGAGGGGAGGTTAGTACAGTGTGGATGGACGTGTGGTTTGAGACATTGAAAGGGAGGGGGAGGAAGGGAAAGAGGAAAGGGACGGGAACATGGATGGGGACGGGGATGGGACGGGTGAGGAAGAGGGGACGAGTACGGGGACTGTTACTGTGGGTCACAACGTCTTTGGCAGCATGCTTTTCAGGGTTTAGGGCGCACACGGTGCTGATTTTCCCCACTCTACGAGTCGACTAGAAAACACAGCGACGCTCTCCCTTTCTCCCTCCCCCCTCCCCGCTCCGCCCTTCCCTTCCCGTTTCCCTCCCCGCGTGCAACAGCTGTACGTGGACCGGCTAGTGACCATGGCATAAAACGACTGGGACAGCGTCGTGGAGTACGATGGGGAGGCACTAATCCCACCCGCCCCCCCCCCCCCCACCCCCCCCCCCACCCTCTTTCCCCCCCCCTCTTGCCCCACGTTCCCCTCCCTCCTGTGTATGTCCTCCCTGCCTGCAGCTGTATGTGGACCGGCTAGTGACCATGGCATACAACGACTGGGACAGCGTGGTGGAGTACGATGGGGAGGCCAGGCGCTCATTACTGCCCCTCCAACCCCCCCCCTTGCCCCCCAATCCTCTTCCCCTTGCACCTGTGCCCCCCGTATGCAGCTCTATGTGGATCGGCTAGTGACCATGGCATACAACGACTGGGACAGCGTGGTGGAGTACGACGGGGAGGCGCTCATTGCCTCGCAGCGCGCCGCAGGGCAAACGGCCGGGGGCGACAAGGCGGGGCCGTCGTCTGCGCCCACTGTGTCGGTGACTGCAGGGGCGTCCACTGGTGCTGAGGGGCAGGGCACTGCCACGTCGCTCGATGACTCCGATGGGCCCCAAGGTAGGAACGAGAGGCTGGGTGAAGATGTTGGGAGAGGTGGAAAAGGACACATGCAGTTTTTTTGACACAAGTTGGGAGAGGTGGAAAAGGACACATGCAGTTTTTTTGACACAAGTTGGGAGAGGTGGAAAAGGACACATGCAGTTTTTTTTACACTTGTTGTGTCTACATCCAGCCAGCAGCCTTCAGTTCTCTCACACCAAGGTGCATATGCATGCATGTGCATGTGCGTGTGCTCTTCTGCGCCTCTGTGCCTCTGTGTGTTTCTGTGTGTAACCCGTTGTGTGGTCAGGTGACTCCTACCAAAGCGACTCGTTGCAGCAGCAGGGTATGTCGGGCAGTGCGTCGTTGCTACAACAGCACGTGAGGCGACAGGCATTGGCCAACGACCAAGCACAGGTGAGACATGGTGGCATGGACTGGCAGCAACCGGTTACCACCTCACACACACGCACAACAGGCACTGACACACCAGCCTCTCACCCAATCCCTTCCCCCTTCTCCTCCTCCTCCCATTCCTGCTTTGCTGCTTTCCTGGTGTGTGTGCTGCACCACCCTAATACCCTACGATCTGTCTACGCCACTCCACTATATGCACTATGCACTACGCACTACTGCTTCGCTCGTTCAAGCTCTTAGTCAAGCCCTCCTCTCCTCCACCCACCTCACTGTGACGCATTGCCTTGCTGGAACCGTTCTATACCCTTTCATTCAGGCTGTGGAGCAGCAGCAGAACCAGCAGAACCAGAACCAGCAGCAGCCGCAGCTGCTTCAACTGGGTCTGGGTAGACAAAGCGGTCAGCAGAACCCCCAGCAGCAGCAGCAGATGGGGTATGGAGGGAGTGTGGGAGGGATGGGAGCAGGCAGCTCAGGAGGAGGAGGAGCAGGAGGAGGGGTACTCTGGGATGGCTCCACTGCCGCTGCAGGGGGTGGGGAGGGTCACATGGGCGGTAACAACAACACTGTTACAGTGGGCCCAGATCCTTTCGCCAATGCCATGGTTCCCTTTGGTACTGGTGCCGCTGGTGGTGGTACTGGCGGTATGGGGAATGACGGGGCGGGAGGAATGGGAGGGGGCATATCGGGGTGGGCGTCTGGAGTGGGGAATGCGAGCAGTGGAGCGACAGGAGCAGCAGCAGCGGCTGCGGCTCTCTTTGGTGGGCCCGGGGGGTTCAGTGGGCATTTGGACGACTTTGGGCTGTCAGAGGAGGATCTGCGTGCCAAGAGCCTGGAGCTTCTTGAGAATGAGGACATGCACCAACAGGTGTGTGTGTGTGTGTGTGTGTGTGTGTGTGTGTGTGTGCGTGTGTGTGCGTGTGTGCGTGCGTGCGTGCGTGCGTGCGTGCGTGCGTGCGTGCGTGCGTGCGTGCGTGCGTGCGTGCGTGCGTGCGTGTGTGCGTGCGTGCGTGTGTGTGTGACCATATTGTTGAATAGAGTTAGAAGTTACCTGAGAAGGATGGCATGCACCAGGATGTGTGTGGGACCGTCTCACTGCCTTGCCTGTCGCTCCTGCTGTGCTGAGCGCCAAAATTACCGGTTTGATTCCATGGGAGCTGTCAGAGTGAGCCTAACAGTGTTTTTTTCAAGAAGTTGTTCGATCTGCTGAACTCCTTTAGCTCCACATGTGCACTTACACCCCCTCCCATGTCCCCAGACCACTGCCGCTTTTCCTGACCATCACTACTCCCTCGCTCACCCTCGTCCTCTCACCAAGGCTCCACCCAACGGACCTTGATTCAACCCTGTTTGCTCGTCTCGTAAAGCTCCGTGACCCTTATGATCACACCACCTTTCACATTCTCCCCACCCTAAACCCTTTTTCCTTCCCCACCCCGTCCGCCCTCTACAACCACCAACACCCCGTACTCGTCCTGTGATGCAAACTTTCATCTCCCCACGTGCAGATGCAGCAGCTGCTAGGTCTGATCAACGACTACACGCCAGCAGGGTCAGCAGGGACCATCACAGCCAACCTTCAGCACGACGACAACGAGATTGTCTTCCAAGGAGGGTTCCTCACTCCCTCTGCTCCCACCGGTGCTGTGACTGCTGGAGGCTCAGGAGGAGTTGCCGTGGGGGGAGGAGTTGGTGGGGACGGGCTGGGGCCGGAGGGGGCGTCGCACTTGAAGCATACGAGCAAGGTTGGGTGGCTGAAGCTGCGGGCGGCGTTGCGGTGGGGCATCTTTATCAGGAAAAGGGCTGCGCAGAGGCGTGCTCAGATTGTGCAGTTGGACGATGATGATGATGATGAGTAGTGAGTGAGAAGTGATCTGGGTGGGAGTGAGAAGTGATCTGGGTGGGAGTGAGAAGTGATCTGGGTGGGAGTGAGAAGTGATCTGGGTGGGAGTGAGAAGTGATCTGGGTGGGAGTGAGAAGTGATCTGGGTGGGAGTGAGAAGTGATCTGGGTGGGAGTGAGAAGTGATCTGGGTGGGAGTGAGAAGTGATCTGGGTGGGAGTGAGAAGTGATCTGGGTGGGAGTGAGAAGTGATCTGGGTGGGAGTGAGAAGTGATCTGGGTGGGAGTGAGAAGTGATCTGGGTGGGAGTGAGAAGTGATCCGGGTGGGATGGGACAGGGTGGGAAGGGGAGGGGGGGGAAAGGGGGAGGTTGTGTTGGAGTGGGGGGATCATTCGGAGGGGGGTGGGTGGGGAGTAGTTAAGGGGAGAGAGATGAAAGACAGTAGATTGAAGGGAGTGTGCAGACGGGTGACCTATGGGTTCGTGGGTGTCGCTGCTCAATTAGGTGAGTTCCTGGAAGAGGCTATAAAAGTGTGCTTGGCATCTGTGATCTGTAGTTAGCACGCTTCTTCCTGGTTTTTTACTAATTGCCGGCTTATCTCCAAGCTGGATACCTTCCCGTGCGGAAGGAATAAGTAAGGGCGCTTTTTCTTTCTCTGACTGTTTATGGGTAATATGCTACCACATGCATTTTGCTTGTACCTACCGTCTGAAAATACAGAAGCATTATATATTTATACCTTCGATACATGAGTTTTATGTTGTAGAGAATGGATATTGGCACCCACATTCGACAAAGCCACCTCGAGTCCTGATCGTCGACCGCGAAATCCCTCGCTCTGCAGATTTGTTACATTTGCCCATCGAAAAGCTGCCACGTGGCATTTGTCGACCTCACCGTGCCGCTGTACCCCCTTGGTACTGTATGATCCCCCTTCAGATCCGCGCTTTGAGAGTCTTACCAATCACGGTTCGGACAAGAAAGTCGCAGTGCCAATGGGATGTAAGCTGCATCTCCCCAAGCCAAAGCCTGCTGCCCGCACATTCTGCTCATGAGCTGGAGAAGGGGAAATCGGGCTGCCTACGAGCAGCCCTTTCCGCGCGCGCCTCTTCGCCTCCCTTCATACATCCACCTTCCTTCCGCCCTATTTTTCCCCGTACCCCCCCAAACTAACCCCCGCATCCGCGCAACCTTTTCTGCTGCTTCCGCCCCTGAGCCTAGCAGGATCAGCAATCCATGCAACACTTTTGCCCTTGAACCTATTAATTTTATGACTGACCTAATGCGTTTGCACCCTGCCCAGAGCCGTCAGCAGACTAAAGCCTTGTTCGCGCATAGTAGTATGGCCCTGGCACAGTAAAAATACGGTATTTCTATATTCTCTCTGCTATGGTGCCCATGCGCGTCGACTAGCTTGTGCTCCCGTTTGTTACATTCGACGCTCACTTGCAATTTTATTGTCATGGGGCTTGGACTACGTTATAGCTGCAGCAAGATAGGCTATCGATGCTGAGCGTCTGAGGTCGTTTCCTGGCGCGTCGGGTTAATTCACTCCTTCCTACCTCGTTCAGCCCTCTCGCCAATTCCTCAATCACGCTTGGCTTCACAAACAGCAGTTCCCGCACACCATGATCCCTTCGCTTTGTTCGCCGTCGCTTCAGTCACACTCGCGCGCTGGAAGCGCAACGCTCGTGCGTTCTTGTCCGCGTCAGCCTCTCGAGACAGCGGTCCAGTCCTCGGTTTTCCCCGTGTCCTCCGCTTCCCTCGCTCCCGCCGCTTTTGCCGCGTTCCCCGCGCAACCTTCTTCGTCCATCCACCAATCGTGTGGCCGCCTCACGTCACCAGCTTTTACCCCGTCGTGCGTTCACCTTCCGCATTCTCCGCCCAGCGTCTCCCCCCCGCGCGTTTCCGGGGGACAAGCAGCCCTTTTCCCCACGCTCTCGTCCTCCGCTAGCATCGGCGGAAGCATCAAGCTAAGAAGTATCAACGGCAGGTCCGGCGGAAAACACGGCAGCAATAGCAGCAGCAGCACTGGGGGCGGCGGCCACCGCAGCGGCCGCGTCGCAACTTCTTACTCTGGCGCCTCGAGATTCGATTCGACATCCAGAGCTGCATGTGTACGAGCGTACGCGTTAAAACAGTTTCACGGCGCATCGGCGGAACGCGCAGACATGCGGATGCTATTGCCACTGAGCCTCCCCGCGTTCCCCGGAAACAAGCTCCTGGTGAGCGCGGGTATGGGGGGAGAACAAGCGGAAGGGGCGGAACGGGGTAGAAAGGGTATAACGACCGGGAAATGGGTGGGACGGTGTTTGAAATGAACGTACTCTGGACCTTGTAACGAGTACAGAAACGAGGATCGTGTGTAGGAACATACCGCCCTCCTCTCTCTTCACTGCTCTTCCTCCGGGCCCCCTCCTCCCCCTTCATCCCGTCTTCCCCTCCCCGAACCCTCCCCTCCTTCATCCTTCCCCTTCCTCCCCCACCATTCACAGTTCCCGTCCGTTTCTCCCTATTCTCCGTTCGCGAGCCCGTCGCAACAACGGCTGAGCGACTCCGTGCGATGCTGCGCGAACGCCAGGCGACGCGCTGATCGCGAGCCGCTGCTGACGCACACCGTGGAAGAGTGAGTGGGCATGATACTCGCGAAGAAAGAATCCCTTACTCATTATTAGGGCGTTCATAATGTTTATGAGACTCCTAGCAACGCGTGCTCATTACACACACACAGTCACACGAACCCTTTCACCCAGAACCCCTTCCCCCTTTCCTCCCGTTCGTCCTCATCCCTCCCTCTGTCGTACTGTATCTTTGTCTCCCCGCCTTTTCCTTTACATCGCCCAACACCCCCTCTTCCCAACCCCCTCCACCCCCTCTGCTCCTCCCCGCACATCTCCCCCCACCCATCTCCGCTTCCCCTTCCCCCTTTTCCCCACATCTCCCCCGTCTCTCCCCTGTACGCTCGCGGGGCACCACCACCACCACCACCACCACCACCACCACCACCACCACCACCACCACCACCACCACCACCACCACCACCACCACCACCACCACCACCACCACCACCACCACCACCACCACCACCACCACCACCCGACCACGACCAGGGGCGAGACGCTGTGGGGCATATCGCAGCGGTACGGCGTGCGAGTGAAGGACATACTGCGCGCCAATGGGCTCACAGACGTGCACCACGTGGAGCTCGAAACCACTCTCCTCATCCCCCGCTCTGCTGCCGCCACCGCCGCCGCCGCTGCTGCTGCTGCTCCAGCTGCTGCTTCCGATGCCGCTGCTCTTCCTGCTGGCACTCCTGCTCTGCACACGAGCGCAAGCGCCCAGAGCAGCAGCAGCAGGAGGAGGAGCAGCAAAGCCGCTCCCGACCCAGCCACTGCTGCCGCCGCTCCCACCACCACCGTCGCTGGTAGCAGCAGCTCTTCAGCTTCCCTTTCTGCTGATTCAGCTGCTGCCGCTGCTGCTGGAAGGACAGGCAGCAGCAGCAGCAGAAGTGATGGGAGGGCGAGGGCAGCTGCGAGTGGAAAGCCGCGCTTGTTCTTTCAGGTAGGGAACTCACGGTTTGCAACTGGTGGCTGTGCTGCTGCTGCTGCTTCTGCGCGCCCGCACACACACACACAAAAGCACGCCCTAAACCCTTTCTCCTCGCCCCCCTTTCCCCTCCCCCCTCTCCTCCCCTCCCTCCCCCCCCCCCCCCACACACACACATCGCTACCATCCCCAACCGCCGGCCTCCCATCTGTCCACCATAACCACCACCACCTCGTTCCCCCCTTCCCATGCCATACCTTCACCACCACCACCACCACCACCACCACCACCACCACCACCACCACCACCACCACCACCACCACCACCACCACCACCACCACCACCACCACCACCACCACCACCACCACCACCACCACCACCACCACAACCACAACCACCGCATGACCAGCAGAATACTAATCTGGAGCAGTCTGAAGAGCTGGCGCTGCTACAGGCGCGAGCAAGACACCAGGTGGGTGGTTATGCTTGCCTTGTCTATTCCTGTACCACTTTTTGATCAGATGAGCTGCTGGAAAGTTTTGAGACGCCTAAAAACTCGATGAGCGTATGGGCCGATGCGTGCTTTTGTTTTACGGAAGCTTTTTGGTAAAAAAGAGTTGCTTGGTCTGGGAAAGTTAGCTGGGGAGGGATAGAAGGGTTTTGAAATGAGGAATGGTCATTACACAAGGTGGATAGGGATTATTTGGGAATTCTCTTGAGTCGACTCAAAAGTCGTCTTCTAAATTTTTTTTCCTGCAATGGTCATTCATTACACAAGGTGGACGACTGCTGTAGTTGTGTGAGTGCAAAGGGTCTCAGGATAGGGCCACCTGCTCTCCCTTTCTCACTCTCACTCCCTCTTTCCCACTCACTCTCTCTTTCCATCTCTCACTAAACACTCCCTTTCATCTGATGCTCATCCTGTCCCCCCTTTAATCCACCCCTCCACGCCCTCGCCCTCTCCCCATGCAGGATACATGGGGTTGCATAAAAGGAACCTTCTCCTCCCTCTACTCCTCCCTCAGCTCTTCTCTTCCCCAGCAATGGCACTCTTCCACTGCTGCTGCTCCCATACACCTCACCACCGCCCCTTGCTCTCTCTCCTCCTCCTCCTCTTCCTCCTCCCACCCCACCCTCTTCAAAGGGCCCCTTCTCGTCTCTCTTGTTTCGTCGCTTTCCCTCGCGCTCCTCCTCTCGCTCCTCTCCTTCCTCCGTCCGGTCTTTCTCCGCTTCCGCGCATTGCAAGCAGAGAGAGAAGCAGCCACCGCCACTGCAAACCCCCTTACCCCTTTTGGGGGGTTGGGAATGGGGGTGGCACAGAGAGGGGGGGGCCAGGGCGGAGGGGGGGTGTTAACAGATAGCACTGGTGTTGGTGCTGGGATTGGTGGGGAAGAAAATGGGAGAGGAGGGATGGGAGGGGGAGGGGATGGTGGTGTGGGGGTGAGTGGAGGAGGGGTGCCTTTGCTGGGTGCTACAGCAGCGTTGATGCTGAACGAAGATCGACGGCTGAGATCGGCTGACTGGATTAGGGCGAAAGGGGGAGCCTCGGCTGCAGCTGCTGCTGGTTCTGTTGCGGCTGGGATGGTAAGTTCTGCCTCTCATCCTCCTGCTCATCCTCTCACTCACTCACCCTCACCTTCTCCCTCTCCCTCTTCTCTCTTTCTCTGCATCTCCCTCTCCCTCCCCCTCTCCCTCTCCCTCTTCCTCTCCCTCCTCCCCTCGGCACTCCTCTCTCACCCATCTCCTAAATCTCCTCTAAACTCTTCTGGTCCCTTCCCTGCTCTTACCACCCCCACTCCTCTCACCCCACCTCCTTCCCTCCCCGTTCCCCCTCCTCCCCATCTCCTTCACAGGGTCGGCCAGACCTCACACCGGAGGACGTGGCTCGGGATTATGAGGAGACAGTGAGGTGCTACCATGAGGGCATGGCATCGTCCTATGAGTCCTTTCTGCGCGACAGCGGGGCCATGTCTGCCGGCCGCTTCCAGCAAGCACTTCCCCCGTCCGTCCAACGTCTAATGCTTCTCTAGACTCATATGTCGTCCCTTCCCTGCTCTTATCTCTCCCGTTCCTCTTCCTTCGACCCCTCCTTTCTTCCCCCTCCCTCCACCTCTCAGGGTCGGCCGGACCTCACTCCAGAGGACGTGGCTCGGGATTACGAGGAGATAGTTCGGTGCTACCATGAGGGCATGGCCTCGTCCTATGAGTCCTTTCTGCGCGACAGCGGCGCCATGTCTGCCGGCCGCTTCCGGGGAGGCATGCCGCCCAAATTCAGGCCCAAGCCGAAGCAGCGGTGAAGCTGGGATGGGGGGAAGGGAGAGGATGAGGGAAGGGAGAGGGTGGAGGGATGGGAGAGGGTTTGGGGAAGGGAGGTAGGAGGAAGCATCTTGTGTGCTAGTGGAAAGTGCTGGTGGTGAAGGGAGGGGGGAGAAGGGGATGGTTGTTCAGGTGGAGCCAAGACAGCATTAGTTATACAGCAGCTGTCCTACTGTGGAAGCAGCTGGGGCTCTCTCTGCTGCTCCTGGTGATGCTCCTGGTGCTGGTGGTGTTGCTGTAACAATTTCTGGTGCTCCTGCTCCTTCTGCTGCTCCCTCAGCTGCTGCTGCTGCTGCTGCTGCCTGTCTCCGCCCCCTCCCACACCCTGTTTGCCATTCCAGCCCATGCCAATCGCGCTGTGGAGAATCTTGTGTGCTAAACCTGCCATTCCAAACCTGTTATTTTAAACCTGCCATTCCGAACCTGCCCTTCCAAACCTTCCATTCCAAACCTGTCATTCCAAGCCTGCCATTCCAAGCCTGCCAAACCTGACATCCAAACCCGCCATACAGACCTTCCATGCCCGACCTACAATGTTGAACCAGCCATGATGCACCTGCCATCTCAAACCTGTCGTGCCGAAGCTGCTTATCCAGAATCTCCATGCCAAACCTGTACTTTCAAAGCTGCCTTGCCAAACCTGCCATTCCGAACCCGTCATTCCAAACCTGGCATTCCAAACCCGTACCTCCAAACCTTCCAGGCCAACTCACCAGGGCCAATCAACCAGCAAGCACCAGCCTTTCCAGACCTCCCATGCTGAACCTGCCATTCGAACCCTGCCTGTCCGGACCTGAGATGCCGAACCGAACCTTCAGCGCGATCCAAACCACCCCTCCACATCCTCCCGCACGTGACGTGCCACTTGCATTTTTGCATCCCAGTCATGATGCCATAACCTCACTTCACCAGCTTTCATTCATGTGCCATCGTAATGAGGTGCCTTGCCCTTTGACTCGACACAGAAATCTCACGTCACTGCCATGACCTTATAACCTCACCAGCTTTCCCACTCTTCCTTACATGCACCTCCTTCCCCACACTTTCTCTTACTCAAGCTCTACAGCCCAACCATTACCAGCAGCATCAGCCACAGCGGCAGCAGCAGCAGCGGCAGCAGCAGCGGCAGCACCAAGCCCACACAGTAGCAGCAGCAGAACAGCAACAGCAGCAGCAGAACAGCAATAGCAGCAGCAGCAGCGGAAACAGCAAGAGCCAGACGAGCAGCCAGCAGCAACCAATGCAGCACACCTCCCCTTCGACCATCCCAATGTTTTGAACCCAACCGGCTGTGCGGGCAAACTCCGTACCCCTAGTCTCTGTGCTTTCTCACGTCGTGTCGTATCTCGAGCCTTTATCCTCTCACCCACTCACTGCACGACCACCTTCTGTGCATGAATTGCGACGTCAAGTCTCTCTCAGCCTCTACCTCCTTTCTATGACACCTTCTACGTCACCCCTTTCTCCTGCCTGTCTCGTCTAAGCACTAACGTACCACTCCACTTGAACTTCTCACAACTGAATGGTGATGTTTTGAAGAGAGGGGGTTGGGTTGGGCTGGGTCATAAGTGAAGCTTCCGTAACACTGGTTCATCATTTTTTGTGCTCAGGGGTTGATGATTGAGAGTCGAGAGTCGAGACTATGCAGGGTTGAGATGAGTTTGACCATTGAGAAAGCTTGCTTTCTGTTCTTGCAAAGGCAACGTGCTTCATTACAGTTGCAGTAATTACATCATTCTCGTCCAATCTAACTATAGATTATACAAGTATACGACTGGGGTGGGTGGGTGGGGAATGGAACTGCTAAGTTCCGAAATGAAGACGTGGGTGGAGGCCAAAAGGCCTCCAACCTGTCAGATTACAATTGTATCTCTAGGCTACAGTAGGGTCACTCCTTAGTGAGTACAACACTTTAGGGTTAGGTTTCCTCTACTTGTACTCACCTCTTGCCTAGTTCAATCATTCATTCCTGTTTATTCTAACATGGTATTAGAGCAGAATCGTTCCTAGGGCCCACCGAACGTTCCGCCCTGCCCTAACCGTAAATTTTTCTTCCTACGCTGCCCCTGCAGCCGCGCTGCCCTTGCAGCCCGCGTGCTGCCCCTGCGACCGTGCTGCCCCTGCAGCCGTGCCTGCCCCTGCGTTCGTGCTGCCCCTGCAGCCGTGCCTGCCCCTGTGGCCCGCGTGCTGCCCCTGCAGCCCGCGCGTTCGCCCCTGCAGCCCGTGGGCGCTGCCTCTGCAGCCCGCGCGCCGCCCTGCCGAGCCGCGCGTCGCCCCTGCAGCCCGTGGGAGCTGCCCCTGCAGCCCGCGCGCCGCCCTGCCGAGCCGCGCGTTGCCCCTGCAGCCCGTGGGCGCTGCCCCTGCAGCCCGTACGCCGCACTGCAGAGACGCGCGTCGCCCCTGCAGCCCGTACGCCGCCCTGCAGAGCCGCGCGTCGCCCCTGCAGCCCGTGGGCGCTGCCCCTGCAGCCCGCGCGCCGCCCTGTCGAGCCGCGCGTTGCCCCTGCAGCCCGTGGGCGCTGCCCCTGCAGCCCGTACGCCGCCCTGCAGAGCCGTTGCCCCTGCAGCCCGTACGCCGCCCTGCGGAGCCGCATGTCGCCCCTGCAGCCCGTGGGCGCTGCCCCTGCAGCCCGCGCGCCGCCCTGCCGAGCCGAGCGTCGCCCCTGCAGCCTGGGCGCCGCCCTGCCGAGCCGCGCGCCGCCCCTACAGCCCGCGCGCCGCCCTGCCGAGCTGCGCGTCGCCCCTGCAGCCCGTAGGCGCTGCCCCTGCAGCCCGCGCGCCGCCCTGCCGAGCCGCGCGTCGCCCCTGCAGCCCGTGGGCCGCGCGAAACCCTAATTCCTAAAAAAAAAAAAAAAAAAAAAAAAAAAAAAACTACTACTACTACTGCTGCTGCTACTCGTGCTACTGCTGCTGCTGGTGGAGGTGCTGCTGGGAGTGCAGGAGGTGCTGCTGGTACTGTAGGAGCTGGAGGTGCTAGACCTACTCCTGACCGTCACTGTCTGTCATGGCCACTTCTGCGGCAGTTGCTGTGGTCAGGGGTGGACAGCAGCGGGCACTACTTCTCCCGGACAACCCCACCCCTCAGCAGCTTCGTGAGTGGGTTATTCAGCGAGGTCGTCCTAGTGGTGGAGGTTATCGTTTTGTTAAGACTGCTGCTCTTGGTGCTAGTGAGTCTGCTGCTACTCCAGGTGCTAGTGAGTCTGCTGCCGCTCCAGGTGCTAGTGAGTCTGCTGCAGCTCTAGGTGCCCGTGAGTCTGCCGACGCTCTAGGTGCTAGTGCGTCTCCTACCACAGGTCCTGCCTCAGCTGAGGTCTTGCACACTTTCACGCTTGACTTAGGCGCGTCACGTTGCTTCTTTCGTGATTGCACCACAGTCACACCACTCACAGCACCTGTCCCAGTCTCACTGGATGACCCCTCTGGGGGCCCAGTAGTTGCGAGAGCCTCCACGGTCCTCCCTTGTCCAGCAGTCCCTTCCGGCTCTCTGTCAGGTCTCCACCTCCCCACGTTCTCGACGAACTTGGTGAGCAACGCTGCCATTCAGGATGTCTGGGCTGATACCTTTATTCCTGGAGGGGTGTGGCGATCTGTACGTGCTCCCGGACTGGCCGTCACCTGGCTGCGTTCACTCGACAGCCTGGGTCTAGTCTGTACACACTGACCACTGCGTCTACACAGGTGGCTGAGTCAGGTCAGGTGGCTGCGTCGAGTCGGGCGTCTGCGTCGGAGCAGTTCGCTGCGTCGTGCTCGTGCAGAGTACTCACGCACGAGACTCAGCGCTGGCACCACCGTCTTGGTCACCCCTCCCTGCAGCGTCTACGCAGTATGCACTCCCGTCTCCTTGTCTCTGGCCTCCCCAGGACCCTGCCCCCCCTCCCGCGCTCACTTGCGCCGCCGTGCCTTCCTTGCGTCGAGGGGCGGCAGCGCGCCGCTCCTCACTCCTCCGAGTTTCCTCCGACCACTGCTCCTCTGCAGACTCTCCACCTGGACGTGTGGGGCCCGGCCCCAGTCGGTGGGACGGACCTGGAGCGCTACTTCCTGCTGGTTGTTGACGACTACACACGCTACACCACAGTCTTCCCCTTGCGTCGCAAGGCGGACGTCAGCGGTGTTTTAATCCGCTGGATCCGTGCTACTCGTCTCCAGCTGCACGAGCGCTTTCAGCAGGACTTCCCAGTCCTGCGTCTGCACTCTGACAGGGGTGGTGAGTTCTCCTCTGGCGTCCTTGAGACGTTCTGCCAGGATGAGGGCATCCGCTAGTCGTTCACGCTTCCGGCCTCTCCGCAGCAAAATGGGATCGCTGAGCGTCGCATTGGCCTGATCATGGAGGTTGCTCGTACCTCCATGATCCATGCGGCTGCTCCGCATTTCCTGTGGCCGTTTGCGGTCCGATACGCCGCGCATCAGCTCAACCTCTGGCCCCGTGTCTCTGCTCCAGAGACCTCGCCCACACTCCGTTGGACGGGACAGCCTGGTGATGCGTCGTCGTTTCGGGTCTGGGGCGCGCTCTCCCTTGTTCGCGATACCAAAGCGAGCAAGCTCTCTCCTCGCACTCTCCGCTGTGTCTTCCTGGGCTTCCCCACCGACGCTCCACCCTGGCAGTTCTACCACCCTGCCTCGCGTCGTGTTCTGTCCTCTCAGGATGTCACCTTCGACGAGCCGGTCTGTTACTACCGACTTCACCCACACGCGGCCCACCCGGTCCCCCTCGCGCCTCTCTTCCTGGTACCAGTCCCCCCCCCGGTAGACCCCCTTCCCCCACAGGGTCCTGCTCCCTCAGGTGTGTCCCAGGTAGACCCACCCCCCTTGGATGAGCCAGTTGAGATCTTTTCTGACTCCTCTGACTCAGCTGAGGGGGGTGATGCCGTCGCCGACGACACGGCGACCACTCGCCACACTCCTCGCTTAGAGACCCCCCCGGGTTTCCCGCCTCGGCCGTCTTCGCCACCTCCGCAGCCTGCTGCTGTGGACTCTTGAGCTGA